GTTATATCCAATCCCTCTCAAGTCATGATGTCTTCTATCGGGTGACTAACGTTGGCAAATAGTTAAGCGAAACCTCTTTGTGTCTTCGGATAGTTGTCTTAGATGAGCTAGCTTTCTTACCTTTTTCCGCCCATAAAACAATGCCCTCCGGCCACTAATCGCACCAATGGACCCGTGTGGAAGTTCCTGCCGGGTATGCCTTGGCTATGATAAGGAGCTCTTAATGGACATATGACGATTTCGATGCGACAGATGCTCAACCGGTTGCCCCTCTCACAATGGGCCAGACGCTGCAAGCGTCAAGAAATATAACCCAGGGAGAAATCGAAGTCACTTCATCAAATTGGTCTTGTGGAAAGGAATTATAACCTTCGGTCGCACAACTGCGCTTAACTTTCTACGTGCAAAAATTACAAACCTCAACACTTGTCCTTACTTATGCTTGTAAAGTCAAAAGTTTTTCTGCTCTTTTTTAAAGTATATTTGTGAAATTCCAAGCTTAGATAAAGTGCGAGGAAGGAGCCGCTAAGAACTTTCATATGATGTTGGCAACTTTTCAAGTGTAAATAGATTCCAAAGATCTAATTTATCAAAGGATGCTTGATTGGGAAGTTGTTATAGTCAGAAACTGCGGGAATAATTGAAAGCTTTCTGAACATTATATATCATATATAAATATATTTATTTATTTATTTATTTATTTATTTATTTTTCTAGTTATATTTATGTACTTATATATTTGTATTTCACTGCTTATTAGTTAAATTTTCCCTATATAGATTTAAAAAGCTGTTTTTGGGTGCTTCGGCGAGAACTTAGTCTGAGGGATTGAAAACTTCTGTCAAATGCTTTTAAAAAAATACATGATTGGAAAAACCACCAATATAAGATTGAATTGTTTGTTATTGACTCATAAATCGAACTAAGATGAAATACTAAGCGCCGGGATGGCGACCTCCACAAAGCTAATTACTCTTTCAATCAACATCAGCTATAGGCGTTGTTATGATTTTAGTTATATTTAATATAATAAATAA